TTTCTGTAGTTGTTGCTGAATAAATAAACTAAATATATTCTAACTAATTAATTTCGGTAGTGGACAAAATAAATATATTCTAACTAATTATTCAAGTTTAAAGAAGCAGAAGAATTCGCTTGACCCATAAATATGTATACATGCGCGTTGCATAGTCAAAACGTCAAATGAAAGGAATCCTATATATGTAATGTCAGCGGATGGGTTGCAACTTGCAAGCAAATGGAGTAAGCGCTCCACTCGAAACATATTTTTGATTTGTACCTGTTAATTACACATTTTTATTAAATCTATTAATATTGAAAAAAATTGATACAATTCAATTGTATTATTCAAGCAATCGTCATATAGCCTGTAAACTAGTCGAGACGAGCTCGAACTTAGGGTGCTCGAGCTTGTACTCAAGCCCTTAAATAAACGAGTCTGAAATCAAGCTCGAGCTCGTTCGCTTACCACTCATAACCAGCCGAGTTCGAGCTGATCTCGAACTTTAACGAGATTAATTATAGAAAATTAAATAAAAATTCTCTTTTCGATTCTTAACGAATCGTTTAATCAAGCGAGCTTTAAGTGAGCTCGAGCTCGGCTCGTTTATCAAACGAGACGAGCCGAGCAAAGAATTCTTTTTTATTTTAATAGTACCAATTGTGACCAATTAATTGCTTAACAAAATACTACATTACTATTATAAAAATTATTTACGCAGTTTGGGGCTCTTTATGCCATTAAAACTTTTAAGTTTTTTTTTAATAAAATTGTATTAAAAAATAATGTTCCCTTTATATATAATTACCGAATGTGTTGAGCTTGAGTGGATGGCAAGCACACTTCGATATCTTATGATGCAAAATTTCATGTTTCATTATTTGGCTTGGATATATTTTAATTACTCCCAATCCAAAGATAATTAGTTCGAATTATCCATAAATATATTGATTACTTATGAACATTTTAGATAAATTAATTGCATTATAATATCATTTTCTATTATAACCATTGAAATGTAAAAATATTTGAAAAGTTAATAACTTTTGTAGTTTTTTATCAGTTTTAGATATATAATACATCAAACTAACCGTCATTTGATAAACTTCGATTTCACATCCATATTGTTTGTATAAAATATATAAATTATAATAAGCATAAAAGTATTTATTAATATGAACTAGAAAATAAAAATACTTATTAATTTATTTATTTCTATATGATACTTTTGTTGATTGTCTGAGCGAGAAATACTTGAATACTCGATTAATTGATTCACGAGTGGCGATTACTTGATTTCATGTTTCCAAACCTATTGGGTGTCTTCTTTCCATCTCGGGTATTAGAGTAACTTGTTTCTTTTCTCTCTATTTTCCTTTTTATTGCAATTTGAGGTCTTGGTTGCTATAAAGTCCGAGTCTTGCTTGTTAAAGCTTTTATCTTGCTTTCGTTTTAGTTTAAAATTGTATTCTTTAACTTCATTCAAGCCCCAAATTGCGAGTAGAGTGTTTAGAGATTCTTATTTTTTTCTTTGTATTAGTCAATCGCTTCTTGAATCCGTGTTCGAACAACCTTCCTCTAGAGACACGAATGTTTATAGTATTTTGTGGGGTAGATGGTAACCGAGCTACCCGACATCGAGTCGTTCTCAAAGGAAGGCTATTCGGAGCTTAATTTGTCTACTACTCAATTGTCCAAACACACAAGAAAAGAAAAATAAAGACCTAAACATTCTAATAAATGAGTTCGTGATTGAATTAACACTAAGCAAGCGGATAATGACGAGTAATTGTAATCAACAAGAAAAAACGAGCGAATATCGAAATTAAACTAACGGAGTATCTATGTCATCGACACAAAACGAAAAACAAATAATAAAGAGAAATATGCAAGCATTAAGCACTAGAAAATTAACCCTAACCTTCTAACCCTAAGTGATTAAGTTCTAAATAGAGTCCCAACCCTTAATCTTGATAGGCAAGCAATTAACCCCTAAAATCACTCTTGCAAGCAATAAAAACGATCAAGTCAAAACATTCCATCCATCATCCAACAATACCCATATTCACTTTGATATGCATCATAAGTAAAAACAAGGCAAAAATCGAAGTAATGAGCTTTAAAAGTAAATACCCAATTTTCTATTGCGTAGTAGATGAAAATCAGATTCAATATTTTAGAACTTGGACAAAAACAAAAACATCAGAAAAGTCGCCAGGAAATGATGACATAAATCTCCAACGGGAGAAATAGAGAGCAAAATAATAAAACTTTTCCCAAAGTGGGAAAACAGAAAAATGAAAGATAGATCCCCAAATACAAAGCACTAAAGTCTATCTATACTAGTAGGCAAAACACACATTAAAAAAATGCACATTATAAAAAACACTCGTGAACTAGGTCGAACTCACGAGTTGGATCTCGATTTTCGCGGGCTAGTTTCGCTGGCAGCAAGTGGACTCGCAAGCATAAACCTTTTCGCGACTCGCAGGTGTGGGAACTCACAAGCAGGCAGGTGAAGGAACTCGCTGGCAAATGCCTTTTCGCGGCTTGCGAGCGTTGAACTTGCGGGCGGATGGTAACTCGCAAGCTAGCATCTCGTGAGTTCGGCTTTCGCGGGTGCGGATCCAAGCCCCAACCCAAAAAATGTGCTCGTGGAAATGGACAGCTTTCGAATCCTTAATTCGCGGCTCGCATTTCTGGTGCTCTAATTCATCGCACACTTCTCCGATCGACTTGAAACTTCGACTCAATTTTATGAATTCTTTCCTCCTCGTCGTGGAGAGCACAAAAAAATTCCACCATACAACTTTCATGAATAAACACTCGGACGACACATCACAAAATGACTATTTCTTCCTTTCGGACCTACAAAAACACCAAAACGCAAAAGAGAAATAGAAAATATATACAAACACGCAACGGAAACTAAAAACTACTAAAAGTAAACAAAGATGGACCGGGAAGACACAAAACGAACCTAAAAATACTAGACTAAAGCAAATAAAACACAAGAAAAACACACAAAAACATAACAAACAACGACCCGAGGTCGGAATCTACTTCGTACTAGGTAAAATACTTCAAAGAAATAGCACT